AACCATTCTATGATTCTGTGATATAAGAAATATTGATTTTCTTTTTACCCATGTGTACTGGTAAATGCAAACATATGTATTATTGTTAAATGTAGGTGAAGAAATTCCTCTTACCTTATAATTTATGTTGATTTCATATTTAAAACACTTGTCTGTGGTAGAATGACTTGTTTGAGGTCGTTGCCATTGAATTATGCAATCATTTTTAATTTCATCACAGTTGACAGTGATATTTGATGGAGGCATGAGCTTTTCTGAAATTATATAACCAAGAATTCAAATATTTAAAATCACTTGATCCCTTTTTGCTTTGATAAAAGAGAGTCCAATTGCAAGTAGCACCTTTAGGAAAAAGGACACTCATTTATATCTGTTTTTCTTAGGAACTTCGTTAGAAACAATTGAAAGACCGAAGTTCTTTAAATCTCATCCACAGGATCAGAAAAAACAGGGACTAAGCCAAGGAACATGACTTAGGAACATACAAAGATGCAACCTCCTCTTCATTTACTTTTCTAGATGAGTAAGTTAGAGTCCTGTCTTCTTTCTATAAGGATGTTTTTTTACTGCAGAACAATAAGCTGATGCTAACCCTAATGTATGAAATGCAAATGTCATTTCTTTCTTCAGGCCTCCTCACACAATGCTTCTGTGACATGAAGGTGGTGTTCAGTTGGTGTTGTGAACTATGCAGTTTATTCCCCCTTCCAAAAATAATCCATATAAATTTAAGAATGACACTTCAGGATTTCAGAATCTAGCCAACTTCTTCACATTTCACAAATGTGAGCAAAAATATAAGGTCATTTATAGTTGGGTCATCCTCAAGGACTTGGTTATTGTAACAGCAAAAGACAGTCACTCATGATGGAAAGGGTGACAAAAGGCACATAGAGGAAACCTTAGTTTCAGCTAGACTACTACTTTACATCAGTATTGAGACACAGGTCTGGCCTGTTTGTGACGGGCTGTTTGGTTAAAGAACAGTCTTGTTTCATGTGTCATGAGTAATATCACAGTTGAATTCCTTCTCCTTATAGAATGAAGCCTTGTTTGTCCATTCTTCCAAGACAATACCAAAACCAGTGGGACTTTGCAAAAAAGGCTTTGCCACAGTAAAAGTAATTGCACAGGGTTCTTCCAAGTAGAGCACCACATGTGAAAGTGCAAATGAAATCTGGGGTATTCTGTACACATACTAATTTCTTTAATCAAAGGTGCGGTGTTTGTGTATGCCATCACCGCTGGCAATGAGAAGGACAAATCAGTGCTCAGATAAAATTCTCCTGAAAACTCCCTTCTGTTGAAAGAACAGTAGAGGGAAGTAAAAACCCTTAAGTCTTGTGGACCTTGCTGGAGAAAGACCTGAAAACAGTAAGGGTAGATTGCTAAAGAATCTGAGGCAGGCTGCAGCTGTGTATCTTTCTTGCTAAATTTCCCTCACTGCTCTTTTGCTTGGGGAACAGGTTTTCTTGCACATGCCACAGTCTCTTACTTTCCATGCTAGGTGAGACAGAGTACTTTGTTCCTTCTCAGGGATGAATGCTCTAATACCCTCATGCAATAATGAACTTAAAGCAGAAATTATTTACTTACCAATTTTATACAGTTGAATGTACTCATCATAGAACTGCATCGAGGAGTCTTTGTTAGATCTGTTTACCCGGAAGTAAGCTTTTTCAATCTCTATATTTACATTTTTGAATCTGCATCCTGTGTTTCTGCCATTTTCCTCTTTAATGTAATGCTCACATTCCGTTAAATTGTTGCCTCTGTATATAACAAGGTATTTTAGTTAAACGTGGACAGTGTGATGTGTTGAATGAGAATCAGACTCCCCTAGACTCAAGCAGACCTGCTTACCTTGAGTTCTGCCAGTAGAGAAAATATTGGGTATCTGCTGGAGCATTCCAGCCTGCTTGCCAAGTGCAGTTCATGAGGGAAACGTTATAAATCACACAGGAGAAGTTTTCAATGGCCGACCCATTCATGCCTGCAAACCCAGGAATATCCATAGTGAGTTAAAACTGTGTGACTGCTACAAGACAGAGGAGCTTGGCACATGCTTACATATTGTAGACAGCTGCAACTCCAGCTGATTATTGCTTGGGTTACGAATGACTTGCTTCTTTTTAGGTAGCAACACTGAATCTGTCATATGCTCTGACAGATTCAATAAGGAATTGTCATAGATAAGTCATCCAAAGATATTATACTTGCACCTGATAGAGTAAGTCTCAGGGGAGCCAACACTGCTCTAGTAGAAGATGACACCTAAAGTGTCTACCCCTGTGCTTTGAATTGTTCCCATTCAAAAGGAGGTATTGGTGCCACAATGCCACAAACTGAAATTCTTGCCTGTCTCATCCTTCAGTACCCAGATGTAGCATTTATATTTGAAGGATGTTCCTCAGCACCCTATCAAATGAGTGAAGAGTTTCAAGAGCTTATGGGCTACAGAGAGGGAGAGCAACCCAAGTGCAGAGCTGTGAAGTTTTTCAAGACTTCAGGGAGATGTAGATGCAAACTTGTGAGGTGTTTGTGCTCTGCAGTGATACCTTCTTCCACATGAGATTGACATGAGGAATCCTCCTGATCACAAACATATCAACTTAATCCCTAACACCCACCCCCACCAAAACACAATAAGGAGACTAAACATAGCTTTTAAAAGGAAGGATGACTTATCCATCATTTTATAAGGAATCAGTAAATACTATGATCTTGATGAGGCAGGTAGCAATGCCATTTTGTATATGCCAACTCCATATTGTTTAAACGAGCATATCTTGTACCTCATTTTATCAACAATCTCATATATATTACCCCTCTATACAAAGAGCAGTAAATTCTGTAAGATCTTTCATTATTGTGGTTGAGACATTTCAAAGTGTTGGGCACTATGCCACAAGTTACACCATGGCAAAATTCAAAGTGTCACAGGTTTCTCAAGGAAGATTTTCCGAACTACAGACACAAACTTTTTTCATTTGGATTTTTAATAACATTTTAAATTCATTAAAATGCAGTCAATAAAATATTAACACAAACAATTAAAAGAGAATTTGCAATTAAAAAAATGGCACCAAGCAAGGCGGCAACTGAGGACTAAAGAATTGCTGAGCAAGTTGTAGAAAACTTCACAAAACACTGTCTTAAGGCTGTGAACAAGAGCGTGTTCAATCTCCAGGAAACAAATTAATCAAGGAATTGAGGTTTTCAGTTTTTCTTTTACCCTCAGGCCATTGGAAGTAGGCAAATCCTTCTCCAAAGTTTAGCATATTACCTTGAGGAATATATCTGCATATGCTTGAGTATGTGCCATTTGTGTTCACTGCTGTAACAGAAAAGCTTGCCCCGTTATGAAGAGGAGGTGCTATATTTCCAAACATGCACTTCGTATTCTCTGCCTGAAAAATTTCATACAGTAGCTTTACATTATAGTCTTTCATCTACTGGTTTACACAGTGCTATTCCATGTAGAAAAGTCTTAAATTTGGGCTTGATCTGTAACAGTTGGACCACTACAATAATGAGGTAGGTACCAATGTGTTCCCAGGCTTGAGAACTCTCTTCCCAGTATTTTTAAGTAATTAACCTTTAGCAGTGCAAGGTGAAGATTTCAGTACTTATCTCCAGAAAAGCTCATGGCAGTGTTAGGATTAGCAGTCCCTCTCCTTCTTCTACCCATAGTCCACCAAATCCACCTCAAAACAGAGCATATGTGCTTTCATAAGAAACACAGGTGGCTGTAATGTGTTTGACACTCCTTTGACAGACAAAGAGAGACACCCCACAAATTACTGCCTGGGCAAGGAACTGGCTTGAGGTCATCTCAACTAATATTAGCTTTCTGAAAACGAGCACCCAATTTGGGCAAGTCATGTTAGATACCTTGTCAATGCAGCAGTGAAGGCAGACACACACATTGGCATATAAGATGCATGGGATACACTGCCTTCAGGCCAGGGCTGTACCTTTGTAGTAGCTCATGTCAGATCTTACAGTACTATAATTTCCATTCTTAGATAGTTGAAATGAAGGTGACATGAATCTACTCATATCTGTGATTACTGATACAGATGACACAACTGCATGGAATATCAGAAGAGTCCCCAAATGTCAGAATTTTCTAGAAACTGCCTATAGAAACAATAATCTTTACCATAGATGTGGTATACATCTGGCTTGACATAGCAGTGTAATATAAAACACTCCCTCTATCAATGCAAAATAGACTGTCAAAACCAATACTTTTCTGTTACAGTTCCTGTTCCTGAAACAACTTTATTCTGGAGATTACCTACCCAAACAGATGCATAAAAATATTGGCCAAATGGATGGAAACAGATTTGGGCTCTGGAGGAAGAGAACTCAGCTAAGACAGGAGTAATACATGTATGGGGAAAAGAATAATCCCAAAAGGAAAATTTCATTACTTGCTTTGAAGTATCTGTGCAGCTTGTAGATGCCAGTGAAAAAGTAAACTCTTTTGCTTAACATACATAGTAGTTGCAAAATAGGAAATGCTTAGCTTGCTGTCTTCTCTGCATAAGCACTGAAAACAGACTAAATCAGAAGCAGAAGTTGCCTTTTCATAAAGTCATGACACTTCTCAAGTAATCCATTTACACAAGAACTGAGTTGTAGATCTCCTGTCTGCTGTCAAAATTTTGGATCTGAATTGGAGATGAATTTGGCAAGGAATGTGAAAAATAACAATAAGGGTTTCTACAGGTACATTGATCAGAAGAGAAAGATTAAAGGAAGTGTACCATTCCTGATAAATAGGACAGGAAAACTAGTGACAACAGACAGGGAAATGGCTGAGGTACTCAACAAATTTTTGCCTCGGTATCCATTGGCAATCACTCTTCCCAAATCTCTCAAGTCCCCGAATCTCAGCTCAGGGACTGGGAGAACAAAGTCCCTCCCATCATAAGAGAGGATCAGGTTTGATATCAACTGAAAAACCTGAGCATACAAAAGTCTATGGGACCCAACAAAATGCATCCTAGGGTCCTGAGGGAATTGAATGATGTAGTTGTCAAGCCACTCTCCATATCTAAAATTTCACAGCAGTCAAGCAAAGTACCAGTGACTGAAGAAAAGTGAATATCACAGCCATTTTAAAAAGGGTCATAAGAAGTATCGTGGGAACTACCAACCACCCAACCTCATCTCCATACCTGGTAAAGTCATGCAACAGATCCTCCTGGATGTTATGTTGGGGCATATAGAGGACAAATAAGTGATTAGAGACAGCCAACATGGCATCATCAAGTGCAAATGGCATCTGAGTAATCTAATACTTGTCTACGCTGGAGTGACTGCATCAGTCAAAAAGGGAAGAGCAACAGATGCTGTCTACCTGGATTTCTGTAAGACCTTTGTCATGGCCACCCACAACATTCTTGCCTAAAACTGGAGACATATGGGTTTGACAGATGAACTGTTGGATAAGGAATTGGTTGGATGAGTGTGCCTGATGACTCACAGTAGTCAATAGCTTAATGTCCAAATGGACTGGGAGATGGATGGAGTGAGAGCAGCCCTGTGGAGAAGAACTTCAGAATACTGTTGGATGAAAAATTGGATGACCTGGAAATGTGCACTCACAACCCAGAAAACCAATCACACCTGCAGTACTGCATCTAGCTCTGGGGCCCTCAATATAACAAGGATATCGACCGGTTGGAGCGAGTACAGAGGAGGGCCACAAAAATGATCAGAGGGCTGGAACACTTCTCCTGTGAAGAAAGACTGAGATTTGGGTTGTTCAGCCTGAAGAAGAGAAGCCTCTGAAGAGGCCTTATGGCAGTTTTCCAGTATATAAATAGGGCTTATAAAAAAGACATAGGTTTTTTACTAAGGCCTGTAGTGGCAAGATAAGGGACAATGTTTTTAAGCTGAAAGAGGGTAGATTTAGATTAGATACAGAAAGACATTTTTGATGATGAGGGTGGTGGGACACTGGAACACATTGCCCAGAGAAATTGTGGATGTCCTGTTGATAGAAATATTCAAGATCAGGTTGGATGGGGCTTTGAACAACTTGATCTAGTGAAAGATGTCCCTGGTCATGGCAACCCAGACCATTCTATGGTTGTATGAACCTGCTTGGGTCTCAAGAGTCACTCCAGAAATACTGTGTCTTCACAGGCTTCTGTCACACCAGTCAGCCCTGAGCAAGCACATCACTGTAACTTCAGTGTCCCTGAATTCTTGGGTGCTTTTTCTTTTTTTAGGTAATTCAGTGAGGACCCACATGTCTAATTCAGTCTGTTCTTTGTATTTAAAAATTCTCATCTGCACAACACAAGATGCCTCTCACTAAAGTTCCTCTGAAAACACGAAAAGAGACAATCTTACACTTCAGTTGCATCAAGGCCCTGATTCCACAAGAGTCCTCTGAAGGCAAGAATTTCACAAGCATAGCCAGGGAGGGCAGGTATAGCTCAGTACCAAAATAGGTCTCAAGAAAAATTAGAAAGGACTGTTAAAACATAGACTATCTTGTTCCTACCAAGGACACTTTTTCAGTTACTTAAGGATATGAAGGAAAAGGAAGAAAGTGCAATGATTAATCTCTGTTAAAACTTTACATAGCAAATTTACTGTTACAATCTTGCTAAAATCTCCTGCATCACTGAACACCAGTCCTCAGCGAAATTCATGCTGCTCATCCATCTCAGTTCCATTTTCCACTGATTCAATTTCTAATAGGTGAATCTGGCATCTCTGCTGCAAGTGTCACATAATAAGATCAGTAATTGCAGGACTGATTCCCAGATTTTTGGGTGCAGAGGTTACTACCTAGCACATCTAAGGCAGAAGACAACTTCAGCATCACTGCCAGTAATGAGAAGCATATAACACTCCACCTCGAAGGATTGCCCCATGGAAGTGTTCTACTCACAGTTTGTGCAGTGCCAGCCAACACACAACTGGGTGATCAGCAGCATCCACTGGGTCATGAAGATGAGTGCAAGAGGAGCAACCATCTCTTCTTCCTTGGAGACAGAGAACAGTGAAACTTGCCCAAGGTGAAAGATACCAGTGTGAACCACTGTCCCCTGAATTTGTCTAGTCTGACCAGCCCATATGCCTGCTTCTACACTATCTGACTGTCTTGAAGTTCTGGTGGGAGGAAGGGTTAGATAGACTTCTCAAGCAATCAAAGAAATGTTCAACTAAGCAGTGAGAAAGTTAAAGAATTTCTCCTTTTCTGTAACAAAACAATTTGTGTGATGATTCATAGAGCTGGTGATCTTGAGAGCACTGTATAAATGTTACATACATTTGATGACTGTTACCTAAAGGTCTAAAGATTATTTGCCTATCTGCTATATACAGCAATGAACAGTCACCAAGCAGGTGGGTAAAAAGCTGTAAGCAGAAAATACCAAAATGGGTCACAGCAATACCCATCAGCTGGAGTTACCCGATGATGAGTATAGTAAGCTGGGTGAGGGCAGTAACTCATTATGGTTCATGTCCTTTCAAGAATGTTTTTTGAGTATATGCCTATAAGTCGATCTAGGAGTGGTGTCTAACTTCTACAAGGTCGGTACCAAACTCAACTTTGGCTCCACGTATTCCTCTGACAGCTTTTTTAGGTTTTCCCGGTGCAACAGATCTCCAGCCCTGGGATTCCTAGAGTCTCACTGAACAACCTAGAAAAAAAAAAAAAGGCAGAAAGACAAAGGTTGACCTACCTTATATTTCAAAATGTCCTTATCTTCTTTATATTTCTATCACAGTCTTCATGTTCAGAGAAGATGGAAAGACTGATATTTTAAATGGCTGTATAGCTCCCTTGCCGCTTGTGTTTTGGGGAACTGTTGTGTCATTGGAAGTGTTGCAAGATATGTTCATCACTTCCCTCCTGATTCTTACCAAATTAATGTAATTGCATAACTCATGATTTCATATAACATGAACCAGCAGTTAGCTGGTTGAATTATCCTTTTGGCTGTACAAAATCCACTGGTGCTTGGGAATCCAATGAGTGCATTAAAATCTTTTCTTTTACAGGTATTTCCCTTAAATAATGCTAAGAAGTGCAAAGTATCTTGCAATACAAACCACCTCTGGTGACTGGGAACAACGGGAGTTCCCCAAGGGTCACAGGGCAGGGCATGGCAGCCAGGGCCCACCCAGCCCCAGCCTAGATTTGGGCAGCCAGCGGGACATGGGGGAAGGCCCAGCTCCAGGCATCGATCACCCCCGGGGGACAGGGATGGGATGGGATATGGGCCCGCAGGTGGGCCCAGCTCGGTGAGTTTCCATACACCTGCCTTTCTTTCTCCTTTCTCCCAGCCTTTCAGCTCCTTTGGTCTCCCTCCTCCAATCAGGTCAGTTCCCAGAGCACTAAGCAGTCTCCTACCCACTCCTGCAGCACGAACATCCAGACCAGGAGCTCTGCTCATCCTCTGGCACCTCGCACTGCAGGAGCAGAGAAGGGAAGGAGTTGTGGTGAGACATTCAGCCCAGAGATCGGGCTGGGGAGGAGGAAGGCTAGGATCAATTGCACCAAAGTTGCATTTGCTGATCCTGTATCACTTTAGGGTTGGTGTTTAAGGGCAGCTCTTGCTGTGTGTGGGGTGTAGCATCACACTCCTATAGAGATTTGTTGGCGGAAGCAGTTGGAACAGAAGGCTGTGCCCAGTGATGGCTGTGGCTGGATTGCTGGGTGGTGTCTGTATCTGAGACACCCTTTTATCACACTCTTCAGCATTGATGCAGTGGGATGTTGACTGCCCTGGACAACTGTGTGTTTTTTCTATGCCTAAATCAAGTCCTGGGAAATGCCATCAACTTCCAACCCAGTCATCCCAGTTGTGTGTCTTGAAATGGGTGGACAAGGACAAAATCATCTGTCCAGTGCTGGGTTCTCTTTCTCTGCTTGAACTCTCAACTATGTGACTTCTTGTGCACCCCAGGCAAACCCACATGCTCTCCTGTTGAAGATCTCACAAGCCTGTAGAGCAGGCAGCTGAGGAGCAATATGGTGCCTGGTGCTCCCTCAGACTGTGCACCTTTATAACAAAATGAGGAAGTCTGGGTTTTGAGGTTTGGCTACCTTTTATTTTTAAACTGGAATGTACTGCAGCACAACAATCCAAACAGCCCCCAAGGACAGTGATGTTACCACAGACAAAGGAACTCTCCTTCCCAAGGGATTTCTTTACTTGTCTATATTTAGGGTAAGTCCTGCCCTGAGGTTTTCAAAAATGCAAACAAATTAAAACAAAACAAACCGAAACAAACAAAAAAAACCCGACAAAAAACAAACAAAAGAACAAGCAAAGCTGGTGCTATTAATGGTGCTACCATAGACTGTTTTCTTTCAGAGGTCAAAAAACTAGAGTTAAATGGCCTAGCCAGAAGCTGGAAGAGAAATGAGAAGAAAAAGAGCAAGATAAAGAAGACGACAGAAAGCTGGGCAGAGACTGAAGCAGAGTAAAGTCACTGCAGGAATGTGATTAAAACCAACCTTGCTTAAAAATCTCAAAAGCTTGAGGCATAATTTGTTGCTTAAACAACAATAGTAGCGCTCACAAGAACTGCCAGGGCATTTTGCTATGCTGGTGTCTTACAGCTTTTGTGTAGACCACAGAAATACAAAAGTCCTTCTCTTTGGTCCTTGCATCAAGAACTTTTTAGTTTTTAGAAAGTGTCTTTCTACGCAGAACAGAGGAACAGCCGTAGGAGACCAGAGTACAGGACTTCTATCAGTGTGAATATCCAAGCCACTTGGTTAGAACGTTATACAGCCTGACCATCTTTTCCCAGTGAGTGTTATATTGGGCCTTTGCCCAGGGACAGGGAAAGGTAATACATTCACTCTGCTCCTACTCCCACCTCTTCTACCTCATGGACGGGATTTCTGGTGTTCTCATCAGGCTGCTAGTAGTGAATTCCAGTTCTTTGAATGGCATTGTAGCCTCAGCAGCTTTCATAGAGAAAACAGTGGGGATGTAAAGGGTGCACCAATGGCTATGATAGAGTGTGAGTGAAGCAGGATGAAGAGGATCCAGTATTCCATCTGTTTCATTCCCCTTAAATTAAAGTAAGCTTTGGCTTTAGTTGGCTACTTCTGATGAAGGTGTTCTTATCTTTTGGCAGTGATATCTTAAATAGAAAGAATCTTCTCTGGTTGTATTTTAAAAAGCTATTCAAAACAAATTGTTAATGAAAGCTTATTTAGAAACACAGAATCATAGAAAAAATTAGTTTCAAAGGTGGCTTCTTGGAAGTAATCTGTTCTAGTGGAATTTTATCACCCTGAGAGAGCTTTATATATGATGAGGGAATTTCAACCACCTGAGATGACTAATTATCCTGAGACCTTTTGGAAGGGCAAAATAGCAGGGTATGAGGAAGCCTGGAGGATTATACACATCACCAGGAACAATGTTTTTATCCAGTTGCTGGACAACTACAGGAGTTACTAGATGGATCTGTAACTCATCAAAGAAGAACTGATCATGGATCGGAGAGTCACTGACAGTCCTGGCAGCAAGGATCATGATATGGTGGACTTAAGGCTCCTGAGAGAAAGGAGGAAGGCAAATAGCATAGTATATATGTTTGATATAATGAAAGCAGACTTAAACTTGCTCAGGACAGGATAGGATCTGAGATCTGTCAGTAATTCAGAGACTCCCACTGTGGATGTGTTGGACCGAAGTCTTCTGCCAGCAGTTTGGGTTTAGTCTCCAGCGCTTTGTTCCTGTTTTTTCCTGTGTCTTGGATACCATGACATGAACCACAGCTTATCCCTTGCAGTCCCAAGTAACCTGTCTAAACATCTCATGACATCTTTCACCTTTGCCCTGGCACAAAATCTACTGTGCCAGAAGTGTCCTCGCATACCTTACAGATCCATGTGATCACCGCCTGCTTCCTGTGGCAGTGCATTTCCCCACCCCAACTCCTGGATTGCTCTATGGCCTAAAGATTCCTCTCCAGCCTTGGACATTGTGCAGTGAATTTGGTGGTTAAGGGTCCCTTGACCATACCAAACACCCTTGCATAGCTAAGGTAGGGAACAGCCCTAACCATACTGGGTGTTCGGCTGCCTGATCATGGTATGTACCAGGAATTTGACCACCTGTCTGTGGTGGGAATAAGAATGGAATAACTAATTATTCCTTGACAACCCTGAGACTCCGGTAAGTTGCTACCGTCAATTACTGACACCCTAGTAATTACCAACCCAAACTGGTGGCCAAACTGTAAACTTAGTGATGCCTAAAATCAATTAAATCATGTGGCCCTATAATCAGCTGTCTCGAGTGAGACCCTTTGAACTCTTCTGGATCACAGCGGGTTGTGCCCAGCACCTCCGAGTGGGACACCTCTCACAGTTCACAAACTCTCCAGTTTGTGGAATCAGAGGACCTTGCAGTGTAGGCTGAAATCTCCTTGAGACAACTCTTCGCCCATTGAGAGACACACAGCTGCCAGACGTGAATATTTTCACTAAGCACAAGGGGAAATTTTAACAGGTACTTTTGTATATATACCGATCCCTATCTCTCCATCTACATATCTCTGTGTGTATGCAATTTTTTGTTAATAATATTTTTAAGTCTTCAATTAAGTTGCTGTGTTGCTTCATTAAGAGTTAAATTTTTATAGTAAATGATATAATCTAATTGTGCAATGCTTCTTAATAGTGTTAATGATCTTTAAATTGCTGTTATTTTAGATTGCTGCTATCCCAAACTTACAGAAAACACAAAATCACCACACTGTGATCCCTACCCCTAATTCCTTGGACCAAAACCATTGACCAGGTGTGGGTCTAGGCGTGGATTCAGCCACCCCTGGACTTCTCTTTGAGGAGTTCAGACAGCAAGGGGGACTACTCTGAACCTTGTGACTAAACAGGAGGAACTTCCTTACCCTGTTCCCCTAATCCATCCATATATATATATCTCACACCAACCCAATTTGGGTTTGATCACCCTGGCCCTGTGTAAATAATTTTTAA